GAATGGGTCTCCTGAAATAGAATTATTTTTCATTTCTGATAATAATTTTCAGATTTGAAAAGAAATGTACTCGTTTTTACTACTTTTATTAGTTAGTAGAATAACAATAACAGCAACTTAGTACTGCATGTTTTGTTGATAAAATGTTGGCGATACCCTAGAGAACTTTCAGCCTTTGTAATAGTAGCAATAAACATGATCACGTGGTGAGAGTGAATCCACAGGGCACGATACTTCACTCAGAAAGATAAGAACAATAGTTCGCATCTTATCCACCTCCAGAAGTATACATGGTCCTGTTTTTGTTTTAGTTACTCACCCTTCTAACTGTGATAAGAACGATAGTTCGCATCGCATTCATCTTCTCGAGATATACAACAACATTTCAGATGGTACACTGTTTTGAATTCTTCCATATAATATTGCTTTTGTTGTTTTTCACCGCTTCTCAAGCCAATCAAGACACTCATCCAACAGTTGGAGTCATCCGCTGGGATGCCTGGAATTTGTTCGACGGCCAATACGATCCCATCTCCTTCTATTCTCATCGATGTTTAAGTCCTGAAAAGTTCCATTATCGGCTACCGTTTTTTGCAACAGTTCTCTCTCCTACGAACACTTCGTACAATGCAGATCTGCAGAGTGTAATGGATCAAGAGATACTCTATGCGAAACATGCAGGTCTCGACTATTGGGCTTTCGATACATATTGTACATATGGGCCCAACTGTACTACCAACTCGACATTTTGTGCTGAATATTTACAGATCGCAAATCAATATTGTCCTCGAAATCCTGCATACGGCTTACATCGATACCTTTCGAGTCAATATAACTCTCTAATCAAGTTCACTCTTCTCTTGTTAGGTTCTTCTCCATGTGATTCTGCTTTTCAAGAGAGTTATCTTGAACTCATGGTACATCCTCAATTTCAAACTGTATTAGGAGGTCGTCCACTTCTGTATTTATTTCAATTCGACGATGCAGAAGCCAATCTTTGTGGAGGTGGATGGTCTGGAAGTAGAGAAGTATTTAATAGGTTTCGACAGATGGCCATAAATCGAGGTGAATTGTAATAGTATGGGCATAATTAGACTTGGAAACAGACTGAGTAATATATATGGAATTCTGATAGGATTATAACATACTCAACAACTGTGAGAAAGAATACCTTACGATACAGAATTTGCTTCTCTATTATTATTATTATTATTGCTGTAGTATCAGTAAAAAAAAATAGTTCTTCTGATAGGAAAAATGAAACATGCTCTATCTGACCATTGATGATACATATAGCTTATTTGTCTTTTTACCATAGGACTACAAAATCCATACATGGTTTTGATGGACTTTCAAGTTCCAACTGTGCAAGCTCATGCCGCCCTTCTCGGATTCGACGCAATTTCGATGTACGCTTTACCCGGTGGAACCATCGAGGTAGACATATTGATCTATAACAATATAGACTAAAGCATTTCATTGATTTCAGGGCTCACCGTTCATCGACCTAGTTCATACTGCTCAACAGTAAGTTGTGTGCATTTCGTAAAAATATTCTAACGAACTGATATGATAATAGATGGTGGCAATCTGCTCATGACGTCCAAGCAAAAATGGTACCGATCGTTCCTACTGGTTGGGATGCCCGACCACGCTATGAAAATCCTGTGCCATGGCTCATTGAAGGACCAGAGCATTATTTTCAACCTACTGGCGAAGAATTGCAACAATTCTTTAAGACAGCGATCAACTTTACTTGTCAATATAATGAGACAGCTGAGGCGCAGACGATACTCGTCTATGCATGGAACGAAAATAGCGAAAATGGTGCTCCTCTTATTCCTACGCTAGGAAATGGTACTTTCTACGTTGATGCTTTATCGAAGATACTTCCATTGTACTGTTAATCAGAACCTCTATATATACAAGTGCTTCAAAAACGAATCAAATAACTAATCCAAAAAATTTTCGGATTTTTTTCTTGTAGAAGAATAAAGTTTTTGTATCTCTCAAATGTTAAGGCTGGGGTGAGGATGATGGCCTTCTCTTAATTCTCACTCTTAAGGTATATTTTGATTGAAAATTTTGGAGTAATCTTCGCAATAGGTGAAAAAAAGAGAATCAAGCGAATCTATCGTCATTATTAAAAGAAGTCATGCAATAAGTCAATACGATTATTGCTAGGGAGTTCACGTAGTTAAACTAACTGAGTCCGAACAGGTAAAACTTCTATATTTGGGTTGCACTTCTCTTACTTATCATTTATTCATTTAATCAAGAAATAAATTCTTAATTAGAACATACAAATCGATGTATAGTTTTATTCGAGTCTTGATCGTTGAGCATGCACTACGTCCTTTTTAAAAACGTTTTCATAATTCATATTGACATGTAGAAGTTGAATATGGAAGATACTAGGAAGGAAAATTCCAACAATAAATTCCTCCTTCCCTTCCCCCTCCCCAAAAAAAATACTCTCACTCTGAAATATGAATGATTCTACCTTGCAATAATCACCATAAAATGAATTTGCCTATAATGAGATTATCTATGATCGAACGATCAAAACAACGAAGACGAAAGAAGAATAGACACAAAAACTAAGCAGTTACATACCAGATGGATTTGGAAATGATCATATTTGGGTATAAATCATTCCTCGGAAGTAATGAAAAGTATAGGTAAATATTGATTTGACGGCGATAATATTGTGCGTTCGAGAAAAAAAACACATGTTCTACGGATGTAGCTTCCGTTTTCTTTTCAGTTGGTGAGCAAACATATGTTGACGATAGACGCAAAGATCCGACCGTCACTCAATACGCTGCCGGTTCAATTACTTTACTGAATATTGGATCATCTTGATTTTGAAACCAGGGTGTGATTGTGAGTGTGAGTTTGGAAATAACAAAATTCTTTGTTAATTTATGTCCTCGATTACAATATCTCACAATGAAAATTAGTAGTTTTATTATTTTTAATCTTGAAAAATAATTACATTATGAATAATTTATTTTCATTATGGATCAAAAATATGTTTGATAAAGAATTCGATATACTGAAGAATTTTATTCCATTAGAGAAACTATTCGATGTCTATTTTACGAAAATAAAACGTGATATATACAGTGACAAAATGTATTTATGGTGGTAAAATTGTTTTGTTAATGAATTGTTTCATTCTAAAATGTTTATCACTTTTTAATAATCGAGAAAACTATTATGATTACATTTTGTACATAAAGTCTCTCATGGAGATAAGTTAGTGTATGTAATTATCTTAAAATTCATCAGCATATGAAAATTGTTGACTTGATTTTATAAGATGATATTATTGCAATTCATGGTTTCATTTAGTGTTATTTTTTTGCTTCTTCTCTTAGAAATCTTTGAAAATAAATCTTTGAGCTTAAGGGTGAATGTAGATGTGTCGATGTCAGTATTCGCACCGCCCTCACCCACACCCACATCCAAGGTGAAGCTCGTACAAGACACGTATCATCAATAACATGATTGCTATAAAACTTTCTTCGAAATAATAACAGAAAAGTTGAATGTAAAAAAGAAAAGTATCGTTTGCCTTTCTCTATTGTCGATATCACCAGTTTGTTGAAAATTTCGTGAGGGATAGGGTATGAGTGCGTGCAGGAGAAGATACAAACTCAAACTTACCCTACACTATATGATATACCATTTATATTCTAACTATCCTTCATCGTCATTTGTTAAATTTATAATTGAAAATCGCATTCAATGTTGATCAACGATCATTCTGATAACAAATTGATCTAACTCAAAAATGAGTGAATCACAGTTTGACAAGAATTCTATTTATATTCATATTGAAATGAACTTTCTGGAAATTTATGTTATAACATTAGTTAGGATAGAAACGAACACCTGATATGTATACTTGTATCTGGTTACATCTTGCTTAATTGAATATTATTTCGAGGTATTTTCAACTCTATGTAGTTATTCTTAAAGGAGCATTCAAAACTGAAGTAGCACTTATCGAGAAATATTATAGAACACCAAACATAAGGATAAAATTAATGAAAAACAAAGTTCCAGTTACTGGCAGATGCAATAGCGTTGACTCTTAAGAACATCGTGGGTAATGATCGCTTTCACTTCTTTCTGTGGATTGTCGTCGTTTTCCGTGTTGCAATTTTAAGCTATGGTGCACATCTTTGATATCGACTTGTTCACTAGTTTTTATATACAATGACAATGTTGTCTGGCCAAGAGAAATTACAATAGTATCGTAAATTTTGAGAAAATTTATCGAATGAGTAAGACAAGAAAATGTTCATTCGTATTTTTAAAGACAAAGATATCTTTGACAAGTACTTTCATTCCATATATGATTCAATTTTATCTGAAGCAAAAAGTTTCTTTGATTAATTTATAATAGTTAACGCTCCAGTTTTTTTTCATTATAATGTTTTTCTCAAACTAATATCTGTATAAGAATATACTTTGGAAAATAGCATTCCTACTATGTTGCAGATCACTATTCGATACGGGTAAATTTGATCAAGGATACTTTTTTTATATAAAAGTACTTTTCAACAGAACCTTTCAGTTTTATTCATGTCACTTAAAATTAGTCATGAATAAATAATTAATAATGTTATAAATACATAGAACATCTTATTACAATATCATAACAGAAAACAAACTTTTCTAACTAGCATTCAAAAAACAACAATCGATTGAAAAATACATTGTTTTTGTAGATACTTATACTGTACTTTGCACCTCATATTTTTGATGAAAAGGCTATCTATAAAGGAGTCGTTTATTCTTGATTATTAATAGTATCAAATTGAGTTAATATTCATAATTAAAAAAGAAATATTCAGTAGATGTCTCTTAAGAGAGGCTCTGAGTAAGACTCTTCTCGTATAACTCTAGTAACATTATTTTCGTATATTGTGTAAGACATTTTGTTCTCTTGTTTTTAGCTTTATTAGATGATTTCACCCATATATTTCAAATATGGATGTTGGTTTGTGAATGTTGTCGTCACCATGGCCAGGTATAGCCAATTCTACACACACACACACACAAACGACGAGCATTCTCTACACTGAATTCATCAAACCGATGTTCAATGACAAGTCGACCATCGCGTAAGAAAGCAGCATCGATACTTTTGACATCACAATTGAAAGTACAAATGATTTGTTGATGCATAACATCATCGAGTAGATCATCAGATAGGTTCAACAAATTTGGCAACAGATCACGAGTTATATTTTCGATATCGTCCACAATTAGAACTGAGTTTGAATGTTGTATAAGGAACGGTGAGAAATCTGGCTTTGTCATATCCTAAAATGAATAAGACATTGGTTTAGTTATCATTCGATATTTTTTAAATGATATTATCTGTAATTCCTCGACAATATAATATCAATTATCAATGACTTTATTAATAAACATTATCATTGATGAGTCCCGGACTAGTCTAAATGTGAATATGTGAGGATGAAGATTAGATTCGGACATGCATACTATGTATCACTTACCTATCGTTTAAACCATGGAGCCATATGATCAAGATATCAACGTCTACATGTTTATAATCATTCGTCAGACGCTATTTAATATAGTTTTATTCAAAATTTTTTATGTTCACATTTAAAAATAAAACGAATTATCTTTTACAGAATGCGCCATTATTTAGACGACATTAAAAAAAATAAATTTTAAATGCAACAACAAAAAAAACTATTTATACTTTTAAGAAACAAAATTTTTCATATTGTAGTTTTTATTTTAAATTTAAATGATTGTATCTCCAACTAACAGTTATAAATTCTTTTTCTTAATTTAAATTGAATCTTGAATTTCAGCTTATTAGAATTTATATCGAAAATAAAATAATACAAAATTATGACATAAAAAGATTTAAATTATTTGGTAAGTTTTTTTTTGTAATTTAGAACAGCTAAGAATTTTCAAATATATAAACTAGCATTCCTCATTACGAGATAAATATTGTCGGGTAGAGTGTTCGAATTCACCTTTCATCTTCTTTTCTAGTCTTCTGACTAGTCTGGATGGAGTCGACGGACAAAATAAACTGTATATGAATAGGTTCAGGAACATTCTGAACTAGTTCAGACCTGCTTGAGGGACTTTTCTCCAACGGGTCACTAGTCATGATGGGTATGCAAGACGTTACAGACTAGACTTGATGGGTGTTGTAGGCAATTCCGACTAGTCATGTCGGGCATCTTTCTTTATTTATTGTTAGTGAATTATACCCATCTGATAAAAATTGGGCAAAAACCGACGATTAACCGCGGTTTCATCCGGTATACCGAGGTAAACCGCAGTTTAACGGCATTGTTCGAACCTTCGTTTCGTCAATATTTGTTTTAAATTTAACACTTATTTTTCAGTTAAACAAATTTATTTCAAAAAAAAAGTAAATAAAACAAAATTGTACATAGTGACAAACGAAAAATTTAAAACATGTAATCTAAAAAATTAAATGTAAAAAAAAATAATCTAAAAGAGAATTAAATATTAAAATATTATTAAAAAACCATACATGTTAAAAAAAATTATTTTTTAAAAATAAAATAGTTATGACAAAATTATGTGTAAAAATACTTAAAGCTTTACTACACCTCTTATTAATTACTTCATCATTTTATCTAACCATGCGAGCAAGCAAAATGAACAAAAGATTAGCTAGCACCTGTGTATATACATGTTATTTTTCGTTCTATACTCATTCATCACCTTCTCTCCATCGAAAATAATAGCGGTAAACCGCGGTTTATCGCTAAAACTGATCCGATTTTCGCAACGTGAGTTTGTTTTCAAATAAAATGCATGTGATATGCAAAATTAGCATAATGGAATCGAATGACATAGATTTTATTAC